GACATGCTCGTCAAGAGCCGAGAGGAGAGCAAACACGCAGAAGACTTGGCCGACTGCTTCAAAGTAATGTTAAGGTACAACCTCCGGCTGAACCCTAAGAAATGCGCGTTCGCCGTGCAAGGTGGAAAGTTCCTGGGTTACATGGTCACCAAGCGAGGTATCGAGCCTAACCCTGAGAAAGTACAGGCCATCGTCGACATGCAGCCTCCCAGCACTATAAAAGACCTGCAACGGCTGACCGCCGATTGGCCGCCCTTAGCCGCTTCCTAAGCAAGGCGGCAGATAAGACCGTGCCCTTCTTCGAAGCCATGAAGAAGAAGGAAGGATTCGCTTGGACCCCGGAGTGCCAGCAGTCGTTTGAAGAAATTGAAACAATACCTCTCGACACCCCCGGTATTGTCTACCCCCAGGCGGGCGAGCCTTGTTTCTGTACTTAGCCGCCTCTTGCAAGGCGGTGAGTTCGGTGTTGGTCCGAGAGGAAGAGCGAGTCCAGCACCCGGTTTACTACGTAAGGTCTCTGAAGGCTGCCGAGTCAAGGTATACCGCCTTGGAAAAAATTGTATACGCGTTGGTGATTACCGTGCGCAAGTTGGCGCCCTACTTCCAAGCGCACACCGTTCGAGTACTGACAGACCAGCCTCTCGGAAGAGTTTGCGAAACCATCGTCATCGGCCGCCTGGTAAAATGGGCCGTAGAACTAACCCAATACGGGATTGAATACCAGCCCCGGCCTTCTATAAAGGTCAGGCCTTGGCCGATTTTTTGGTCGAATGCACCGCGAGTGAGGAAGAAAAGGAACGCGCCGTGGAGAGCTGCCTAGGCGAATGGTGGAAATGCATGCGGACGGAGCATCGAGTCGACAGCACTGCGGAGGAGGTGTTGTGCTCATCACCCCCGAAGGATTCCGACTGTATTATGCCCTGAGCTATCTGTTCCAAGCCTCCAACAACGAGGCCGAGTACGAAGCTGTGTTAAACGGCCTCCGAATCGCCAGGGCCTTAGGGTCGAGAGGTTACGAGTCAAGACTGCTCTAAGTTAGTAGTCGGCAAATCTCAGGCACATGCGAGGCAAAGAATGCCCGGATGACTCTATATAGATTCAAGTGCATAAAGTGAATAAATCCATCTCTTCCATTTGTAATCCGGTGTGAGATATTCATAATTTCATATCAAGAATTGTCACAGACTAGCTACCAGTTATAAAGAATTAAAGATGCAAATTATTTACTTTTCATCCTTGTGATTTTCATAAAATATGATGTCTCAGTTTACCAAATGAAAGTTTCCCTGCCTTATACAATTTTTGTAAATCATAAAATGGAGAGACATCTCCCCGTGTTTGACCTTAACAAATATGTGAAAAGTTTCCCTGCTCATCTGTTAGACTGTAGACTACCATTTGAATAAACCATTCCGCAGTCTTCTTCATTACTTTCACTTTAATTTGATTTTATTATTACCCTGTATACATGTGTTTTTTTTTTCTTTTTCTCAAACTTCATATTAATTATATTTTTCATAAACACTTGTAATTCTTTATAAGATAGTATCTATTCTATAAATCTATACTTGTAACGACTTTTATTATTTACATGATAATTAACTCATATTAATTAGTTTATTATAAATTTATATTCTTAAACTATAACTAGTTAAGTCTTTATTAAAGTCAGTGAAGACTGAACATTCAACAAATCAAACAACAACAATAAATCAAACAACAAATAATCAAACTAGACTTAAGGTGTGTGTGTTTTGTTCTACAGTCAACCACATGAGCAGTTAGATAAGAATGCAATTTGAAAAGGCATAAAAAAAACATCAATATCTTCTGCTTTCACCAGTGAAGCACATCAAAATCATAACAATAGCAACCACATTTTTTTATAAGCAACAGGAAAGCAAAGCAAAAACACACATAATTTGGGGGAAAAAAAAAGGAAAGGAAAAACAGCGTTATCACTAATTTCAGACGCTGCCTGACCTGCTGTTACGGTGGCTGTTGAACGCTGGTGAGTGGGCTGCCGGTGACAGGGCTGGTCGTGGTTGGCAGTCGTGGTCAGCGGTCGGCGGAAGCTTCAATCCGCAGAATTGAATTAGGCTGAATGGGGAAGCGTCTCTGTCTCATTTGGAGTCTCAGCTTCTTTTATTAATTTTAGTAAATAAGGGCTGAAATAAAATAAATTCCCTCGTTAATTAAAAAATAAAATAAAATAAAATAAACAAAAACAAAATTAAAAAATAAATTCCCTAATGAGACGCTGTTTAAAGAGTGGGGAGAAATAAAATTTAAAAAATAAATCGTGACGGAATAAATTTTGTCGTTAATTCCGTCGAAATATTTACTAAACTAGTATTGTACCCGTGCGATGCACGGATAAGACTTATACAGTAGTAATAAGATTATTTTTCTCATATGATTGAAAATTATTATTCTCTGAAAGGGAAAAGGACATAAAAATAAATTTAGACAAATGAGGACACACAAATAACCAACATATGCACACAACCAATTACAAAATAAACAAACAAATTAACAATGGTTAGAATATAACTCTCTAAAAAAATTAATTAATATTTATAACAATTACAATTATACATAAACATGTCATGTACATATATATATATATATATATATATATATATATATATATATATATATATATATATATATATATATATATATATATATACACACACACACACACACACAAACAAACAATATATATCATAGTGTATTAGCCTAGCTAAGGGTTATCTCAAAAAATTCTCAAAAATAAAAGAAAAAAAGAAAAGGGCCAACTGCCAGCCCAACTCTATTTAAGTCAAATCATTATTGTATGGACCATATTTTGTATACAATAAATAATGTACATTTAGTACACAAATAATGTACTTTTAGTATATTAAAAATGTACTTTGTATTCATGAAAAGTACATTATTTAAAAACTAAAAGTACATTATTTTATATAATGTACATTCAGTACACAAATAATGTACTTTTAGTACATTAAAAATATATTTTCTTTTATGGTCCATACAACACTACGTGGACCATGGTCCACACAATAATTTGCCTATTTAAGTTATTTACATATAACTAAGCCAAATATACTGAGCCCATTCCATATACCCGATCTAGACCACTTCCTACCCCTCCCCTTATCAGTTCTGACTCTCCCGAACGGGAAACTACAGACCACTACCTAGGGGTGAGCATCGGTCGGTTACGGTTAATAACGACCGATAACCGAAAAAATAACGGTGTTTTTTAACCTATGTAACTGACCGAACATACACATATAACCGACTGAAACCGATTATGTCGGTTTTGGTCGGTTATTTCGGTAACCGAAAAACCGAGAGTGAACTTCATAATTTCATATTTTCATGCTTCATAGTCTTCACAATAAATGGTTTATACTAATAAATGGTTATCTAACTTACCATGAACTTCATAGTCTTCACAAAACATACTAAATAAACAAACAATATGAACTTCATGGTCTTCAAAATTCACAAGTCATAGCCATACGCCCATACAACCATACTGCTTACTGCCAATCTACTTATCTGCCATAGTTCATTATTAAAAAAAAAAATAAAAATAAGCATGCTTCCACATACTGCCAATCTAAAATTAAAAAAAGAATTTAATACTAAAAATTAAAAGGTGAAATAATGAAACAGTGAATGAACTAACATTAGTATGTACTTAATAAACTAACATTTAATAAACTAACATTAGTGTCTTTCAAAAAAAAAAAAACTAACATTAGTGTGTGCTGAAATAAACTAACAGTGAATAAACTAACATTGTGAATTAGTGTGTACTTAATTCAATAAACTAAATTACTTAAACATATTCTAGAATAAACTAACATATTATATGAATTAACCAGAGTTAATAACACAGAGTTATGAACTAACATATTCGTATGAAGTTATGAACTAACACACTAAGTCAGTAACACTAACACATAATCACAGATACAACACAGTTTATTTCAATTGATTTGTAGTTTTTTTCGTTCTTTCTATTCGAGATTGGGTTAGTGTTCTGCTACGACGGTAAAGACTTCCTAGTTAGCGCTCCGTCGGTCCTTCAAATCAATTATATTGGGAGGTCTAACGAGTGAAAATGGTTCACAGTCCGACTGCTAATTCAAGTTACCTTTCAAAGAGACGAGATTCCGCATCAACTTATTTCGGGATGAAGACATGTCGGCCTTACGACTGCGAATGAAAGTCTTCCTAGCACAGAAAGGAAATGATGATTTACCCAAGTCCTTTGCTAAAACTTCTTGCTTATGCTTTCATTTTGTCATCGAGAGTAGGTTGGTGTGCAGTATACCTATTGGCTGGATGGATTGAATATATATATTCATCAATAAAGTTGCTTTGACGAGAAAGAGCCCTGAGTCCAACTCTCGCTCAGTAAGAATACAAGCCCGAAACAGCCTCCAACCCCTAATTATACGCCGACCCGCTTGACTTTTTGACTTAAGGAAATACGCAGCTAGACTTTGCCAGCTTTCCGGCTTAGACTGATTTAGTGAAGTATGCCAATTAAGATTGCCTTGCTTGGACTCTGCCTCTTTGGACTCACTAGCCTAAGGCTTAGCCAAGACTAATTTTTCCGTTGATAGAATTTCCACCTTGCCGCTGATTTTGGGATTGAGCTCTACCAAGTAAGGTTACCTCTGAAGTTTGAGAACCAGCTGGAACTTGGATTGCTGAGGCTGTCTAATAAACTATTATAGACAGGATAGGATATTAATACTATCAAAGAAGATGAACTTGCGGGTAATATACTCTAAGACTGACTGACTGGCTTCGAATGAGGCTTTGAAGAAAGAGATAGAGGTTCTCAAGAGCGGATCTTCAGAGCAAAGACCGGAGAACTCTAAGAGCTGATTTGTCTCAATTAGGCTTTTGACGGCGTAGAGAAAGATATTATTTTTATTGAGGGGATTCCTCTCTACTAGAATAAGGGAGAAGATCTACAACCTAGCAAACTAGCCTCCTTCTTACTAGCATTCTTCCGGGTCCTCTCGAACCAGCATCTTCCAACCTGGTGCTCTCACTTCTCGGACTAGTACAGGTCCAAACCAAAGCCAAAGCTCCAAAAGTCTAAGGATAAGTTCCTTCTCTATGGAAGAAAGAGAGTCCCTAGGAAGCTACTGTAAAGTGGCCGTAGGCGGTGAGCCAGTGCAGTGGTTGAAGTCTAAGATTCAAAAGCAAAGCTGCTTTCTCAGGTTCAAAGAAGGCGAAGCTGTTCAAATTTCCTACTGAAATAGGCAAGCAACGACTTTTGGTCGACTTAAGCCAACTATACTTATTGCTTCGTCTTATGCTTTTGCTATCTGTCTTTCCATCCAACTTTGTTGTTCGCTTTGGGACCTGTTCCACCTTCAGTTTGGGATCTTAGGTTTGTGGGCCTTCTCCTTTGAATTGGCACTAGACTGAAACTAGTCAACTGAGCTATATCAGGGACTTAGCCTTCGACAGGACTGGAATCTTCGACATATAAATATGCCTCGAGAGTCGAACTCGAGCACTTCTTACGAAGGCACTTCGTAAGAAGTGGATACCAACTTGGTGTTGAGTTATCTTTTTTGTTACAGTTACGAACGATGGGGAAGGGAAGGCGATGAAATCGTTTATTTGTTTGAAAGACGAAGGAAAGGTTTCACACCCTTAAAAGCAGTAATTCATATGATTTTTTTAAATACAAAATTTAAAGTGAACAAATAGAATTATATAAAATTAGAAATTACCTTGAATATTTGATTATTGAAATTCTGGAGACCTGGATTTATGGACTCCGGCGAACGGCGACTCCGGCGACTCCGGCGACCGGCGACTCGACTCCGGCGTGAGGCGGTGAGCGGCGACCTGCGATTTACGGTTCGCGATTAAGGACGAGCCATCAGTTCGAGTCTTCGAGAGAGGGCTGCGAGCCCGCGATTGCGATTGAGAGACAGAGGGAGGCAGAGAGGGCTGCGGTTGCGCCTGCATTTAAGGTTCCGAGTCTTTGAGCGATTGAGAGACAGAGGGTTTACTGGTTTGGTTTAGGCGAATAGGGCCAATAGGCAATACGTGATTACTGGTTTTGGCCCTTTTGTATAATTATAATACATACTAGCATTTTGTACGCGCATCGCGCGAAACTTATGTCTAATATTAAAATATTTGTAAGTAACCAAATTTACAAAATTAGTTAAAATTATGTTTTGCAATTTCTTAAAGCGTGATACTTTTGAATTATCATTGATGGGTGAGGACCCCGGCCCAAGAGATAGGGGCCCAAAGAAAATAGATAGGAGAACTGGGCCAGAGCGAGAGGAGCCCGAAGAGCAATTGGCCGAGTCCGGGAGTCGGCCCAGGCCAAGCACGGGGCCCAGTTCAGAGCTGCTAAGAGGAGTCCAGTAGGAGCTTAGGCCGAGACAAGGAGTCGACCGAGGCCCAAGCCCAGGAAAGGACTCGGCTCAAGGAGCCGTTGAGAGCATTGAAGAGGTTCGTTTAAAAGGGAGCCGTTAAGACATTGAAAGCAGGACTCGGTCAGGCCGTTACAAGCCTGGGAGAGCCGTTGGTCGACCGAGTAATGGCGTCCAACGGCTCCGTATCTTAATTAGCCTTGAAGTCGGCCATTAAAGGCCTTCAAGTCGGTAGAGGAGGAGCCACTATATAAAGGCTCCTCCATTCTTGTAAAAGGACAGACGATTGAACACCCAGAGGGGGAGAATACCAAAAAGGTTCCGAGTACTCGCATTATCTCCGAGATAGGCATACATTTTACTGAAAGGTGCACCCACCAGCCAAAGGTTGAGTTGGACCTCCCGAAGAGGAGGAGGCTCAGTGGCGTCAGAAGCCGGTTATCAACATGATAGTCGGCGGGCCGGAAGGTGGTGACTCAACGAACACCAGAAAAGCCTGGGCCCGCCAGTTATACGTCGGAACGGTGTACTGGCGCGAGGAGAACCCTAAAAAGGTGTGTCGAGAGCCCATTGTGTTTACGACCGAGGATTTACCAGCCGGTGAAACACCGCATCGAGATGCGTTGGTTATAGCTATGGACATCAATGGCGTTGTCGTTCGACGATCCTGGTAGAACCGGAAGCAACGTCAATGTGCTGTACTAGAAACCTTCATCAAAAGGGAATGACTCGGAACAGCTGAGTCCTGTCAAAACTCCCCTCGCGGTTTCACAGGGGACTCGGTGGAGGCGGAAGGATCGGATCACACTTCCAGTTGAGATCGGCAGTTACCCAGACGTACAGAGACTCAGCATGAAGTTCATTGGTGGTGAATCTGGCCTGTTCGCATAACGCTATACTCGGCCGACCGGGTCTCGAGGATCTAGGACGTTGATTTCAATTGAGCATCTTTGTTTAAAATTCCTCACGCCAAACGAATAGGCACGGTGCGCTGTGACCGTAAGGTCGCCCGCGACTGCTACCTACAGGCATGTAAGGGATGGGCAAACGCGAGATACAGGTCCATGAGATCACGAGAGGCCCCAAAAAGGACGATAATACCACGTCCGGAGCCTGCGTCGAGTTGGAAGAAGTCGAGATCGACTCCACGCAGCCGGACGACGAGTCCGAATTGGAGTCGGCCTCCCGAGGAAGTAAAGGAAGAAATTATAAAGGTGCTCCGGGAACACCGGATGGTCTTCGCCTGGTGCCCGGAGACATGCAGCGTCGACCGATCGATAATTCGCACAGACTCGCTGTGGATCCCGGGCATCGACCGGTTGTGCAGAAGAAGCGATACCTGGCCAACGACCAAAGAGAATTTGTGAAGAAGGAAGTGAGGCACGCTACTCGCAGCCGGACACGTCGCGAAGTTAAGTACCCGGAGTGGTTGGCGAATGTGTCCTTGTACCCAAGCCCCCGGCGTGGCGGATGTGCGTGGATTACACCGACCTTAATAAGGCCTGCCCAAAAGATCCGTTCCCCTTACCTCGGATCGATCAACTGGTCGACGAGACGGCGGGGTCGGCGCTGTTGAGCTTTATGACGCTTTAGGGGTACCATAAGATATTCATGCACTCGGCGGACGAAGAAAAGACCGCGTTTCTGACACCGGACGGAGTTTATTGTTACGAGTCATGCCATTTGGCCTCAAGAACGCCGGAGCCACGTATACCGAAATGGTGGCCCGATTGTTTCAGCACCTGTTGGGAAAATCGATGGCCGCGTTACGTCGACGACATGCTCGTCAAGAGCCGAGAGGAGAGCAAACACGCAGAAGACTTGGCCGACTGCTTCAAAGTAATGTTAAGGTACAACCTCCGGCTGAACCCTAAGAAATGCGCGTTCGCCGGCAAGGTGGAAAGTTCCTGGGTTACATGGTCACCAAGCGAGGTATCGAGCCTAACCCTGAGAAAGTACAGGCCATCGTCGACATGCAGCCTCCAGCACTATAAAAGACCTGCAAACGGCATGACCGGCCGATTGGCCGCCCTTAGCCGCTTCCTAAGCAAGGCGGCAGATAAGAACCGTGCCTTCTTCGAAGCCATGAAGAAGAAGGAAGGATTCGCTTGGACCCCCGAGTGCCAGCAGTCGTTTGAAGAATTGAAACAATACCTCTCGACACCCCCCGGTATTGTCTACCCCCAGGCGGGCCGAGCCCTTGTTTCTGTACTTAGCCGCTCTTGCAAGGCGGTGAGTTCGGTGTTGGTCCGAGAGAAGAGCGAGTCCAGCACCCGTTTACTACGTAAGCCGGTCTCTGAAGGCTGCCGAGTCAAGGTATACCGCCTTGGAAAAAATTGTATACGCGTTGGTGATTACCCGGTCGGCAAGTTGGCGCCTACTTCCAAGCGCACACGTCGTAGCGGATCATGACAGCCAGCTCTCGCTCGAAGAGTTTTGCGAAACCCATCGTCATCTCCGGCCGCCTGGTAAAATGGGCCGTAGAACTAACCCAATACGGGATTGAATACCAGCCCCGGCCTTCTATAAAAGGGTCAGGCCTTGGCCGATTTTTTGGTCGACATGCACCGCGAGTGAGGAAGAAAGAACGCGCCGTGGAGAGCTGCCTAGGCGAATGGTGGAAATGCATGCGGACGGAGCATCGATCGACAGCACTGCGGAGGAGGTGTTGTGCTCATCACCCCGAAGGATTACCGACTGTATTATGCCCTGAGCTATCTGTTCCAAGCCTCCAACAACGAGGCCGATACGAAGCTGTGTTAAACGGCCTCCGAATCGCCAGGGCCTTAGGGTCGAGAGGTTACGAGTCAGACTGGACTCTAAGTTAGTAGTCGGGCAAATCTTAGGCACATGCGAGGCAAAGAATGCCCGGATGACTCTATAATAGATTCAAGTGCATAAAGTGAATAAATCCATCTCTTCCATTTGTAATCCGGTGTGAGATATTCATAATTTCATATCAAGAATTGTCACAGACTAGCTACCAGTTATAAAGAATTAAAGATGCAAATTATTTACTTTTCATCCTTGTGATTTTCATAAAATATGATGTCTCAGTTTACCAAATGAAAGTTTCCCTGCCTTTATACAATTTTTGTAAATCATAAATGGAGAGACATCTCCCGTGTTTGACCTTAACAATATGTGAAAAGTTTCCCTGCTCATTCTGTTAGACTGTAGACTACCATTTGAATAAACCATTCGCGGTCAGTCTTTCTTCATTATTTCACTTTAATTTGATTTTATTATTACCCTGTATACATGTGTTTTCTTTTTTTCTTTTTCTCAAACTTCATATTAATATATTTTCATAAACACTTGTTAATTCTTTATAAGATAGTATCTTATTCTATAAATCTATACTTGTAACGACTTTTATTATTTACATGATAATTAACTCATATTAATTAGTTTATTATAAATTTATATTCTTTAAACTATAACTAGTTAAGTCTTTATTAAAGATCAGTGAAGACTGAACATTTCAACAAATCAAACAACAACAATAAATCAAACAACAAATAATCAAACTAGACTTAAGGTGTTGTGTGTTTTGTTCTACAGTCAACCACATGAGCAGTTAGATAAGAATGCAATTTGAAAAGGCATAAAAAACATCAATATTTCTGCTTTCACCAGTGAAGCACATCAAAATCATAACAATAGCAACCACATTTTTTATAAGCAACAGGAAAGCAAAGCAAAAACACACATAATTTGGGGAAAAAAAAAGGAAAGGAAAAACAGCGTTATCACTAATTTCAGACGCTGCCTGACCTTGCTGTTTACGGTGGTGTTGAACGCTGGTGAGTGGGCTGCCGGCTGTGACAGGGCTGGTCGGTGGTTGCAGTCGTGGTCAGCGGTCGGCGGAAGCTTCAATCCGCAGAATTGAATTAGGCTGAATGGGAAGCGTCTCTGTCTCATTTGGAGTCTCAGCTTCTTTTATTAATTTTAGTAAATAAGGCTGAAATAAAATAAATTCCCTCGTTAATTAAAAAATAATAAAATAAATAAACAAAAACAAAATTAAAAAATAAATTCCCTAATGAGACGCTGTTTAAAGAGTGGGGAGAAATAAAATTTAAAAAAATAAATCGTGACGGAATAAATTTTGTCGTTAATTCCGTCGAAATATTTACTAAACTAGTATTGTACCCGTGCGATGCACGGATAAGACTTATACAGTAGTAATAAGATTATTTTTCTCATATGATTGAAAATTATTATTCTCTGAAAGGGAAAAGGACATAAAAATAAATTTAGACAAATGAGGACACACAAATAACCAACATATGCACACAACCAATTACAAAATAAACAAACAAATTAACAATGGTTAGAATATAACTCTCTAAAAAAATTAATTAATATTTATAACAATTACAATTATACATAAACATGTCATGTACATATATATATATATATATATATATATATATATATATATTATATATATATATATATATATATATATATATATATATATACACACACACACAACACACAAACAAACAATATATATCATAGTGTATTAGCCTAGCTAAGGGTTATCTCAAAAATTCTCAAAATAAAAGAAAAAAAGAAAAGGGCCAAACTGCCAGCCCAACTCTATTTAAGTCAAATCATTATTGTATGGACCATATTTTGTAT